AGATACATATTCTTCAGTTTGACACGTAAGCCCTTCAATCACTTAAACTAGTTTATTATACAATTATAATATTACTACCAGAACTAATGAAAATTATTTGAAAGAGGTTAACTAATTGCAATAAATATATCTTAGCTCTGTATACAGCGCTCGTGAGTAACGTAAGAGACAAAACCAATATACTCTTCTCCCACTGCGAGCTGGTATGAAAAGCTTGTTTAGGTTTTTAGTATTTGAATTTACATTTAAAGTGCTTTTAGTGATTTCCTTAACTGGGACGCATGTGAAATCCATGAGGTGCTATGAGGAGACTTTGTTTAGCATATGATATTTATGAGGACTTTCTAATAGACTAACTACAGATTACGAGACTCAAAGTTTAGCTATTTTATTTATTTAACTACTCCGAGCATCAGCTCTGTAATAACTTGTCGTTAGTTAGTTTTTTTTTTTTTTGATCAGTCGAGAGTTCAGCCGAACAACTTGGGCATTGACCATGGTCAGCCATTAGCACTTCCCAGTTGCGAGCGAACCTTAATAGGCTTTAGGGAAGTACTTACTTGAGTTGCACTGTATTATGAGCTCTGCTGTTTGCTGTTTGTCGAGTGCAAATTAACGCATCTAACATCACATAGCAAACGGCTACAGTGGACAGTCGCCAAACAAGACCCAAGCCATGCCAAGTCAAGTGTAGCTCCAGTCAGTGCTCACAATGAGCTAATCAAGCCGACACTAGAACGTCACGGATGCCCCCAATTAGTGACCAATCCAGGCACGCATGCCAGCCACAATAGGCACTAAGCGATCAATTGCTCAAATTGCGCCTCCAGAGTCTCCGGCTCTGCTTGGCATGCCAGGCAGGCCCACCAGATAGACGGCAGATCGCCCGATTAGTCAGACGGCAGACAACGAACAATCGATACGATCTGCCCCAACTGGCCTCAGCTATATGTATCTCTATATATAGTATCTGTGCGACGCGACACTTGCTCAGTTGTCGCTCAGCAGTTGCGCGGACAGCTTGAAATAAACTGTCCAAAACTAATTAGCTGACAAGCCAAAGCCAGAAAAAAAAAAGCAGAAAAAAAAAAAAAATAAACAGAAAAATCTAATTCGATTGTAAGTGAATTTAAAGTTTGCTTAACGAGCTGAAATTACTTAATTTAAAAAGATTAACTAAATGCTAAATGTGAGCCGAGTGTGTAACTGTAACTGTATCGAATCTGTATATTAAGCCAGTGTAATTTGTTGTTATATAAACACCTTGGACCTTGGATATATATCTATATATATTTGCATACTTTGAGTGTTGAAATATAGCAGTGCTCAAAAGACTTAAAAAAAATATATATAAAAAAAATAAAATAAAATAAAAATATGATACTAAAAATAATTTTTTCAATTTTAATTTCTAATTTCTTAACTTGCTAAAAATTTGAAATGTGCTTAAATTAAATAAATAGAAAATAATATCTCAGATAGTGTCATTTCGATTTCAACTTGTTAACGAATTCGTAAGATATTAATATTAATAATTATTTTGTACTGTGCAAATTGTTGTTTACTTATAATGACAATGTTTTTATTTGGCTTTGTCATTAACTACTAACTAAGTACTTATATGACGATAGTGTCATTAGAATATCTTCAAGATATATTCGACATTTTCAGCTGAGTTTAAAGTCTGCTAATTTCATTCGCAAAGTCTGTCATTTATAATTTTTTTTATTTAATATTTATGCAAATATTTACGTAACAAAAAATAATGTGAATTTTGTCAGCCATTTTATTGTATTTTTAAGATACTTTTTGTTGAGCACATATCTCAGCAAGTATTATTTATAGAATTGCAATTTTTGGTTTGGTTTAGTCTTCAGCTATATTTAAGTTTTTTTCTTGCACTGCCATCGATATATCTTTGAGTTAACTTAAATTTCGGCTACTTTACTGCAGTGGCATTGCTCACAGCTCACAGATACTTGCACATTTCACCGCAGCTTCCACTCGGCGTCAGCTCAATTGCACAGTTTTGAAAGCTCAAGTCAAGGTCGATCTTTCGTTAGTAGCGCAAACATCGAACCGGTTTGAGTTGGACTTTTGTTTATTTAGTTTTTGCTGAGCCAAGCTTTTGGCCAGACTCGAAGCAGTAGTTGCACATCAATCACTCAGCCGAGCACGTCGCACACTCGCACTCGTTTACTAAAGGAAGAAAAATCTCTCTTATTTTAATCAAACAGTTTCTTCCCACTTTGGCGAAATGAGGTTCAACTCCGCTTTGATTCTGCTGGGTGCCGCAGTGATTGGCTTTGCCGCTGCCACCGATGTGAGGCCATGCCCGAAATGTGAGTAGAATCACAACGACCACGCCCACACACACACACACACACACAGCTAAACAAGCTAAATTGCTTCACCTCTTCAACTAGCCAAAGCACGTGCTCTGGGCCCCGATGAGGTCACCATATCGAACTGCCCCAAGAACAAGTGCATCCTGAAGCGCAACTCCGAGGCCAGCATCACGATGAAGATCAAGCCGGAGCGCGACTTTGCCGAGCTCACCTCCGACATCCAGGGCATCATTCTGGATGTGCCGCTGCCCTTCCCCGGCTACTATGGCACCAGCGCCTGCCCGCACATCTACGACGCTTCGGGCGAGAACAAGGTGGGCTGCCCGCTGAAGGCCGGCGAGACGTATACGTACAAGAACAGCTTCAAGATACTGCCCGTCTATCCGACGGTCAGTCTGGAGATCCATTGGGGCCTGGGCGACAAGGAGGGCGACGCCGCCTGCTTCCAGATACCCGCCAAAATCAAGGCTTAGACGGAGATCAGATTGCTTTGCACTATAGTTCATAAGTTTTATTTGTTACTATTAAAACGTGTTGTATGTATAGAATAATAGTTACTTTACTTTCGGTTAAGTACAATTTAAATTGATTATGAATTTGAATTCTGAATTTGGAATTCGTATATTTGATATATATTCAAAAACATTTGATTAATTGATCTAGGCAATATTGCGGCATCCAGCCAATGGCGCAATATTGTGCTCGCAAAGCGCAGAGAGGGAAGAAAACAAGAAATATGCATATAATGTGGTTATAATAATAATATTGATATTGTTATTGAAARTATAAGTAATTGAAAACAAAAGCTTAAAATGTTTCTATCATTTACATTTAATGTTGCTTAATAATACAATAGATCATTCGCATTTAACGCTTAGCTCTTGCTAGCTGGCCGACGTGTCGTATACGCGATTCGCGTGCAGAAATTCCAAAGTTGCGATCAAAAACTTTTGTTTGCCATTTTGTTGTAGTTGTTGTTGTTGTAGTTTTTTTTTTTAATTTTTTAATTTTTTAATTGGGGCGCAGCATGCAAAGATCACTTATCTGATGGAATAAATATCGTTTAATTGTTTTTGCTTAACTTCAGCTCAATTTGTTTATGCGTGTGGCTGTCTGTCTCTGTGTGTGAGTGAGTGTGTGTGTATGTGTGTGTGTGTGTATCTGTGCCTCGTATACATGATTTTCTCATTATTCGGTCAACGTTCACTTTGCAAGTTCATAAAAGTCGGCAACCGGCAACAGTTGCTGCTGCTGCTGCTGCTGCTGCTGCTGCTGCTGCTCTGCCTCGGCCAATGCTTGCTGCAACTTGCGCCAGCTCTCGGCTGCATCGCTCGCATCGAACTGGCGTTGCATCTGGCGCAGCTGCAAGCGATGCTGTCGCAGCAGCTGCCTCCATTTTGCCTCGTTCACATCTCGATTGCGTTCGGCTGCGCTCGATTCGCTCGCTGAGGGCGTCAAAGCGGACGCMGCTTGGGGCAAGTTGTAGTTCTTCATATTGTTGTTGTTGTTGTTGTCATTATTATTGTTGTTGCTGTCATCGTCAATAGCATTCATATTGTTGTTGAAGAGCTGCTCAGCCAGGCTGTCGGCCAGAGGTGTTGGCTACAGACGAATGGAGGGAAAGAAGAAGAAATTAGATATAGTTTTGCAACGAGTGACAGACAAGATAAAAGATATGGGGTTCTATTGTTGTTTGCATGCCATCAGTTGCTTGGATTGGTTATTATTATATCTCGAATAATATTGCAAGCTAATTACGACAAAATTTCTTTCATATAAGAGGTAAGGCAAATGATCTCCATATATCTATATGTTACGATATTATTATAAAAACAAGATACCCTAAGCTCTCTTGTGTTCTTTTAATCATTTTAGCCTAAACTAACCAAAGTTAAAGGCTAGTCAAACAAGACTTTTAAATTTAGTTAACGAGGAGTACAGGATTAAAAATATTGGAATAGTTTGAGTATGACTTTCAGTCAATAGCAAAAGTGAGAGGTAAGCTCAAATAACTGAGTTTGATTTAAATTACTGAGCTGAAACTGAAAGATCAATTGATTGTTTAAAAAAGAAGAACCAAAGTCTAAGATCTGATGTCTCTAGCTGTTATGGCTGCTGAGTTAGAGCTAAACAAGCGGCTCTATCGAATTGGTTACTTAGGCAGATCCAAGAGTAGATACATATAAGCAAATAAATAATAATGGGATCGTTGACCTGTTCTTCTGTCAGCAAAATGCATTTAAACCAAATCCCATTTAATTTGAATTGGGGTTATAAACAAGCTTCAAATGTGCTAAGCAAATACTTCAGAGTAATATTCAAGTGAATAAGTTAACGCCAAAATTCCATTAAATATATTAAATAAAGCAATAAAACTTTGAAACACAGCTAAGAACAAAGACTTAAGAGTCGAATATGAATTCTAGCATATAATTAATGGCTAAATAAATATAAAGCTAAATATGTTTAAAAGTTTTTATAGTTTTATAGCTATATATTATATATTTAATAATTGTAATTAATTTTGGTTGTCGCTAATTATTTTAGCTAAGGGCCGCGACACCATAAAAAAAAAAAAAAAAAAAAAAATTT